AAAAGAGAAGATATTCCTTAAGGGGCCCTCCAAAAAAAAATTGGTTGGGGAAAATTTTTTTTTTATTTTTTTTGGCCCTTTAAAAGGATGGCCCCCAAAAAAAAAAAAAATGTTTTTTTTTGAAAAAAAAATTTTTTTTTTTTTTTTTATTTTTTTTTGGGGCCCTTAAGGGGCCAAAAATTGTGAATTTTGGGCCTAGGGGGGGCAAAATGTGAATTTTTGGCCTTAAGGCGCAGATTGAGAATTTTTTCGGGCCTTAGGGGCCAACAATGTGAATTTTGGGCCTTAAGGGGCCCAGACGTGAACTTTTGGGCCTTAGGGGCCAACAAATGGTGAATTTTTGGGCTTTCGGGGCCAAAATGGTGAATTTTTGGGCATTAGGGGCCCAGATGTGAACTCTTTGGGCCTTAGGGGGCCAAAATGTGAAATTTTCGGGCCTTAAGGGGCCAAATTGAGAATTTTTGGGTCCTTAGGGGCCAAAAATGTGAATTTTGGCCTTAGGGGCCAAGACGTGAACTTTTGGGGCTTAGGGGCCAAAATGTGAATTTTGGGCCTCGGCCCAAAACGTGAATTTTTTGGGCCTTAGGGGCCCAGATGCTGAATTTGGGCCTTAGGGCCAAATGTGAATGTTTTGGACTTAGGCAAAGGGAATTTTGGGCCTTAGGGGCCAAAAATTGAATTTTGGCCTCAAGGGCCAAATTGAATTTTTGGGGCCTTAGGGGCCCCAGAATGGTGATACTTTGGGCCTTAGGGCCAAAATTGTGAATTTTTTGGCCTCAGGGGCCCATAAATGTGAAATTTTTTTTTGCCCTGTATTTTCGGTACTGAACTTGCTGTACCTGCGCTTGGTTAGTACTGAAAACATGTATGCATGATTATCAAATTTGAAAGAAAATAGGATTTTGTTTCAGCCCATTTTATGGAAAATATATATGTATATTTTTTATTCCTCATCTTTTCTCGAAAATCGAGCCAAAAGGCACTTTTCAACTTTTTCTTCTCTCATTCTCCTTTTCTCTCTTTTTTTTTCTTTTAAAGATGAACGATAGCATGCACAGCTGGACTAGGAGTCTCTCCAAAATCGAAAAGATCAATTTGGGGAGGTACGGTCTTTCTCCTGTCATTGCTCTTCGGGGTGTAGTAGTTGATTGGGATTTTTACGGGCCTGTATGGGATCCTGAGGCTCACGTTTTTCGATTTGGGGATATGATGGAGGAAATGTGCCCTCTTTTTGAGGAATTTTTGCGATTATAGGGTGTGATCCCAATGCTCCCTTGGTTAGGCACGAGGTGAAAGTTGGGTATGTTAAGTCTTTTGAGAACTTGTTTCGGTTTAGCCGGCCATAGGCTAAGGCTATGATTGTGGATGATCAGAAGGCGATTCTGCTGCCCCTGATTGATGAATTTCCTGATTGATGAATTTTCAGAGACTTGCTTGGACGACCCTGACCGGGTGAGGCTGAGGATGCGGGCCCTGGTTTTCTGCTTATTGGCCGGTTTCTTATTCAACCGGGACCCAGGTTTTGGAGACTTGCGACTTTGTCCCATGGTTTGGCAAATGGAGGATATGGGTTGCATTGGCGGTGTTGTGCTGGCAGAGACCATTAGAAGCCTTGACAAAGCCGCTTTAGGGTTCGATGATTGGACTGTTTCTCCCATCATTCTCCAGGTATTTCTTCCCTATTATCCTACCTCATTCCTCTTCTTCTTTTTAATTTGTTTCTTTAATAGAAAAGATCCATTACTCAGGTTTGGTTGAGGGATCATCTTCGAGTGGTGGCTGCTCCTACCTCCCTTCCTTACAACCCTTCCCAGTATCGCATGCGAAAAATCTTGATCTCGCACCCTTCTACTGAAACATGGACTTCGTGGCTTCGTGGTTGGTTGAATTAGGTCCAAATGAGATACTGTGGTTCATCCCTTGGTACAACATCAGCCGCTTCATTCAGGTCAGCTTCCGCCATTCATTCTCGGGTTTACCCTCCTAGGCCTTACCCACTGCAACTTGGTAACTGCGTTTGCGCGTTTTGAGGCCAGAATGGGGATAGATCAGACTGTCCCCATTATGGATGATATTTCGGCTGATGCTGCATTACTTGCTGGTGTTACCCGAGCTGTCCTTAAAGCTTGGTTAGAGATCACCGCATGGTGAGACCTTTACCCGATACTACCAGTGTTTCAGTACTTCTCCCGAGCTGGTTCATTACCGCTGTCTGGCCGATTGAAAGACCAAGGAGGACTGCACTGCTGAGTGTTCTCGAAGGTTGGGTTCAGGCTGATGCTGAAGAGGAGATTGGGACAGGTGAGGAGATTGTGCTGGCCCCTCGGACAGACAAGGCTGGGCAGAGTTCAGCAGAAGACTCAGAGGATGCCGCTCCGCGGAGGCAACGGGATACCTAGACTCTTATGAACTTTTGTGATTTTTCCTTGTTTTGCCTTTCGTTTGGGACTTTGGATTTATCTTTTGATGTATGCTTTACACTTTCTTTAGTTATTTTTGGACTCTCTTGCTTGATTCTGGATTATTTGACTTTGTCATTAGGCGTTTTGAACTTTCCAAGCATTTGCCAACTTTTATTTATTTAGGCTCTAATTTTTGCCTAAGCCGCCCTTTCGGGTTTTCAGCTTAGCGAGCTACCCCCTTTTGCTTAAGCCGCCCTTTCGGGTTTTCAACTTAGCGGTTCTTTCTTTTCTCTTTTTTTTTTTTATTCGGCAAAGAAGAATGAAATTTGAAATGTGTTTTTTTTATTAATGCTTAGACCGCGCCCAAAGAGGGCTGCCTACATATGCTTTTTTTTTTCAATGTTTAGACCGCGCCCAAAGAGGGCTGCCTACATATCTCCGATATATAATTTCTTTTTTCCAAAGAGATTCAGGTCTAATGTAGTTCATTTTACATTATGGAAATGATTACAATTTACACAAAATATCTTTTTAACTGATCTAAATTACATGGATTTGTGAATTCCAACCCATCCAAATCAGTCAAGATGACGGCTCCCGGCTTCCGCCTGACAAGATCTTCTTCAAGCACATAGGGTCCAGCCCAATAGGGACGGGAAACTTCCCCCGTGGATCTATGACCGGTTTGTGCTAATTTCCTTCAGAACCAAACAACCTTCTTCCAGTTTCCGGTTCTTTGACCTTCTTTGTTAAATGTCGCGCCATTCTTCTTTGATAAACTTGAGTTTGGTGGATGCTCGCAATCGCTTTTTCATCCATCCCCAAAAGCTGCTAAATGATAATTCCACCCAATTTGCCTTCACTGATCTGGCTTTCCGGATAACCCTCTCGCCGACTGGAACTTCCAGCTCAATAGGCAATACTGCTTCCATGCCATATACTAAGGAATACGGGGTTGCCCCAGTAGGTGTTCTGATTGAAGTCCTGTATCCCACAAGGCATTTGGCAATTGTTCGTGCCACGCTCTATGCTTTTGAATTGTCTTCTGCAAAATGACCTTTATAGCCTTGTTTGCAGCCTCTACAGCCCCATTTGTTTGTGGACGATAGGGTGAAGGCTTGTGATGCTGAATCTTCTTTTGCTTCAGTAGATCCGAGAATTCGCTTTGAAAGTGAGACCCATTATCAGTAATGATCTCGAATGCGTGATGAATCTCGAATGGTGGTTCATCCGACAAAGGATGTTGGTAACGAACGAACCTGGTGCTGCCATCTTGGTCAGATCAAAAAACGGAATAGAAGCTGCCTCAATCCACTTATGTAAAATAATTCAACAGCAACCAGAATGAATTGATGGCCATCTGGAAGCCTTTTTGATGGATCTTTCCGATCACGTCTAATGCCCAAGTTGCGAAAGGCCATGGTGAAGTAATGGGATTTAGACTGAACCGGGAGGCTTGTCTTTGTAGCTTAGCAAAACCTGACATCGTGGCAACTTCCGCGCGTGCCTCCGCAAATCTGCAATATGGTCGACAGTAATAACCCAGGTTCATATTTCGAGCCAAGGCTATCCCGTGCATGTGTGGACCAGACTGCCCATTATGTAAGGAATCCATAATGGTTTGAGCTTCTCCCTCATCAACGCACCTTAGATGCAGGCCATTCCAACTTTTTTTATACAGAATTCCCCCAGTAAGGAAATATCCGGATGCTAACTGTCTCAATATCCGTTGATCAGTCTTGGTGGATCCCTCAGGGTAGGCTCCATTTTGAAGATAATTCTGTATATCCCAATACCAGGGCTTGTCATCCACCAAATTCATGATATGTGCTGGCTGTTTCTGTAGCTGAACTGTCAGAGGTCGAGGTCGGATGATTTTGATCTCCCCCTACATTAACATGGAGGGCCAAAGTTAGTCCAGACATCTGCAAACTGGATTTTGGCGCGTGGCAAGTATGGAAGATAGTTCCTCAAACTGTTGAGCTAACTTCGTCCAAGCGTCGTAGGTAAGGAACCAACCGCTCTTCCTTAATTTCCATTTCCCTGTAGAGCTTGAGAAGACTATCAGGTTGGATCTCCGAAAACCCTAGGATTTTTATTCTTTTTCCAGGGCCGCTTCTAAACCCTTGAGCAAGCTTCATACTCGCTTTCGTTGTTGTACAGTCGAAATCTAGTTTTGACTGCGATTGGGACGTAAATTCTCCCACAAGGAGTTTGAATACGACTCCAATCCCGTTTTCCATGGTAGGTTTGAAGCTCCATCGATACATCTCCCAGACCTCACCTTCCAAGCTCAACAAGTCCTCATCAGGAAATTCTACTTCGGCATTTGGTCTTCGCGGCAATTCTGCTAATTGATGCAGCAAGGCCTCCGCCTTTTACTGCTTACTTGGTACAAACTTTAAATTCATAAGCCGCAAGCACTGACACCCACTTTGCCATCTACAGTCAAGAACCGGCCTTTCCAAAGGAATTTCAAGGGGTTCGAATTCAGAGATTAACGTGTGGTATGATAAGACGAGAGGTAGTGTTGCAGCTTGGTACAGGCCCAGACTAGAGCCAGGCACAACTTTTCTATCTTGTTGTATTTCAACTCATATTCCAGCATCCTCTTACTGAGGTAATACACGGCGTTTTCTATCCTTGTATCTTCTGCTTGTTGAGCTAATATGGCCCCCATTGCTTCTTCTGTTACCGACAAGTACAGTAGCAAAGGCTTTCCTAGCCTTGGTGGTTGTAAGACTGGCGGGGATAGCAGGTATTGTTTGACTTGGTCAAAGGCCGCCTGACAATCCTCATTCCATTTGACTGCCACTCCTTTCCTAAGTAGCTTGAAAATTGGGCCACAGGTATCGGCCAACTGATTGATGAAACGACTAATGTACTGTAACCTTCCCAAGAAGCCTCGGACTTCTTTTTCTGTCCTTGGTGCTGGCATTTCCAGAATAGCTTTGGCTTTCGAAGGGTCAATCTCTATGCCCTTCCGACGAACCATATGCCCCAGAAATACTCCGGATGTGGCTCCAAACAGACATTTTGCCGGGTTGAGCTTCAAATTATACTTTCGAAGTCTAAGGAAGAACATTATACTTTCGAAGTCTAAGGAAGAACTTCTCAAGTGCAGTCGTATGTTCTTCGGTTGTTTTCGACTTAACCACCATATCATGCACATACACTTCCACCTCTCCGTGAATAATGTCGTGAAAGATGGTTGTTGCCATTCTTTGATAGGTTGCCCCGGCATTTTTGAGCCCGAAGGGCATGAACCTATAGCAGTAGGTTCCCCATTCTGTGATTGATGAATGCCGTCTTCTCTTTGTCTGGCAAATGCATCATTATTTGATTGTACCCGATAGCGAGATCAATCAAAGAGACCATCTCGTGTCCCGCCATTCGATCCACCAGTAAGTCAATATGTGGCAGGGGAAAATCATCCTTCGGACAAGCTTTATTCAAATCCCTGTAATCCACACACATTCGCACCTTTTTCCATCCTTCTTAGGAACCGGCACTATGTTTGCTAACCAAGTCGGGTAGGCGATGGGTTCTATGAACTTATTCTCTAGCTGCTTGGCAACCTCTTCCTTGATTTTTAAGGACCATTCCGTCTTTAGTCTTCTGAGTTTTTGTTTCACCGGCTTGGCTTCCGGATACACTGGAATCTTGTGCACCACTATTGCTGGGTCAATTCCCGTGATGTCACTCGCCGTTCACTTCGCCTTTCCACATGAAGCAATCAGCAAATTTCCTTCAAAACATTCACTGAATATGTTTCCCTGTTCATGTGCAATCAGATGCAATGTATGTGTATTTATTTTCTTCTGTGCCAATCATTATTTTTTCCTTTTCAATCTTTTTAATTTCATTTAATTTGATTGATTTACTTTTGCTTGGAAATCTTGGAAAGAATAAACACGCAGGTATCAAGGAATTTGCCAAGCCTTTATTTGATTATGAGGATCGTCCTTCAACGTTAACAATCAAATTTGAGAATCTGGATCCTCTAAGATCCGATAGAGACGACTCAGAACAAGAAACTCTGACCTCGGTTTCAAGATTCGGACTTCATAATTACAGGACTTGGTTTTAACAGAGTGAGGGTCTAGGTTTTGACCTCGGGAGGGTTTTGGTCAGCAGTGCGCTCCTCCTTGGCGTACCAATTGTCCAAGAGGTCCTTCGCTCGCTTGATCAGGCTGAACAAGTGCTTGGATGTCACATTACTTCCGTGATAACTGCAACCTCATCAAAGAGATTTAGGGCTGCATGAAAGTCTTCTGCTTCCAGTTCAGTTCTGTTTTCGGGCCTGTTGCCCCCAGACATCTGAGAATATCGTCCAACCCCGGGCACATCTTCTTTAAGCGTTGGGCCCAGCAAAAGGGTTCTCGGAAGCCACAGTAAAGGAACTGCTTCTCCCAATTACGGAAATAACTATTCAAAGTCGGAAGTAAAAGGCCGTATCTGTACACTCTCTTTCCTTCCCCTCTGGTTTTCTCTTGCACGGTCCTTCATTTAGTGGGTTTTTCATAGCCCAGTCCCGAAGGTTCCCTCATTCCCGACACTCCCAGGCTTGCAGTTTGGGTATGTTTCCCGGATCTGGCCACATTCCCGGCAGATAGGACATCTTCAGCATCAAAGGCACTATGCAGTTTATTTACACCGTCCCAAAATCAAAGAGAATTCGAGAGTTTGCAGTCTTTGCTTCTATGAACTGCACAGTGTCATATTGAAATCCCGAGAGGGGCAAATTGGCAGTTTCAAGGTTGACCTCAAAGAGAGGCTGGACCTTTGGTTTCTTGAACTGTTTGTAGCCATCCCCTTGGATAGTGATGACTTTATCCTCGTAAGGAAACTTGACCTTTTGGTGTAGGGAAGAGGGCACTGCCTTAGAATGGTGTATCCATGGTCGACCCAGAAGTAGGGCCATCGGAAGCAGGTTGAAGCTAGTCGGTACATCAATTACCTGGAAGGGGACTTCCATCACAAGCTGGCCCAGACCGTTAACTTTAGCGTAGCAAACCCCCAACACTTCCCTCCGGGTGCTGTATAGGCTTCACTACTGGTCCGAGGGAGTGAAGTCGTTTCTCAACCTCTAGACAGCTGGCTACTCTCAGTGGGCAACGTCAGCGCCGACCCATATCTGAAAAAGAACCATGGCACGGTTTTGTCTCGAGTCTGACACAGTGGACATAAAGAGCATTGTTATGACTGCCTCCCTCCTTGGGCAAATCGTCATCAGAGAAACCGATGCTTCGTAGTTTTAGATGATTGGGTGAGGGTGGACAACTAGCACTTCAGGGCTAACTTCCACGGCGTCTGAAGTTTGACTCAAAGCCTTACAAGAGCTTGGGCGATGAGGAAAGGATGATGCCAAAAGTTCCCAGATTGACACCCTAGCTTGTGTCTTTTTTAATTGTGACAGCACCGGGTCCTCCTTTGGCTCCTCTGCACTCTGGTAGGGTTTATTTTGAATTTTGTCCAAAACTGACGGTTCATATTGTCTCCCGCTCCTAGTAATGGCATCGACCTCTTCGCTCAGGTCATTCAAATCCAAGACACAGATGTTATTCATTTCCAAAAATAACTCGAAAGGATCGATTAACTTCTGGTCAGAACCAATAGCATTTACCCCGTGATTTGGTAAGGGATTAGTGCTAATGCTTGGCTTACTTCTTGGGATGATTGACCCATTGTCTACCAGGTCTTGTATGCGGTTCTTGACGGTTCTTGAGCCTTCCACACATGCTTCAGTCTTGTGCCCGTTCCCTGATTGGATACTCGCAGTATTCATACTGCCTTATAGTTCCTCGGTAGTGGATTGGAGGTGGCCTTGGCTTCTAAAAGGCTTTGAATATAGTTGGCCTTGACAGCCTCCTCGGAAAACCAAAAAAGGATGTTGGCATTCCAAGGTCAAGTGTATTTTTGTTCTCGATTGATACCATTCCTCATATTCCCCACTCGTAGGTTGGTGGGAGTGTGCTTGCCCCTTCGTGGACCTTGCCTGGCTGCTAAGGTTTCTTGTATTAGAGGTCCCCTGAGTCGTCTTTTCAGTTGCCCCATTGGATCAGATCCTCTACCTTTTGTGGCAGTGGCATAATGAGCGCTGGAACGTTGGCAGGTACTGGGTTGTAATCGTTGTTGGTAGACAGGCTGCAAAGTTTTTTATTATTATATCGAGCACTGCTCCTGCCAGAAGGCCGATTAATCATGCTGGGCAGCCTTGGCCCTCCACTCGTTAAGGAACGAGGAGAAAAGGCTCATTCATCTCTGCCTTGGTGGTTTTCTAACCTCTCGAGTAACATCCCCTCCATAATGTTAGTGTACTGTTGGAATTGAAATGCATTACAGATAATCCTCCCAGGGTCTTTCTATCTGGTCTAAGCTGACAAACCACCTCAATGCAGCACCGGTAAGAGATTGTTGGAATAACTGAGCAAGGAGCTCGCTGCTCAATCCAAATGAGTTAAGAGCACCTACATACATTTTCAGATGAGTCTTAGGACAAGTGGTTCCATCAAATTTGTCCATGTTGGGCATCTTGAACTTAGTTGGCAACCTGACTTCAGGGAACAAGGACAAGGAGTCCATGTCCACCACTTCCTTGTGGGTTTTGAGAGCAGTGATGGACTTCTCTAGGAGCTCTAGTTTCTCTCTCATTCTCTGAGCTTCCAGCTCAGAGGCAGTTTTAGAAGGCATCTCATCCAGGTTTAGGGCAGGGTTTGTAGTTGAAGGTTTCAGCAGCAGGAACCCTGGTTGGAGGCCAGCAGGTCCACTTCCCATAGCCGGAAGCCCCATTTCCCAATTACCATCTCCATTTTCCCAGTTCAGCTATCAAGGGTTGGTCCTTTGGGCAGCTAGTTGCCTCATTATTCTGCCTCCATTCTGCCTCTAGTTTGTTCAATGAAGGGTTTGATGCCATTGGTGCAGGTAGGGTTGTTGGAGTTGTAAGTGAGGTTGGTGTAGTTGGTGAAACCAGTGAAGCTGGCGATATCACCGTAGGTGTGATCGGCACTTGGGTAGGTATCGGATTGTAGGCACCTGTAAGGACAAGGGTAGCTGGATTAGGTACAGTGGTTAGTGTATCAGGTAACTGATATGAGGTAGATTGACTCTTTGTCCAACTGTGCATGACTGAAAGTAAAAGGGTGTTTTCTGCTGTCTTTGTGTTTACCCCATGCCTATGATATGTCGTGAATGCGCATAACAACACGCCATAAACCATTTAATGAATATGATTCACATCATTGGGTGCATACAGCTACCTTTCTAGAAGAGGAATTTATCCTTAAAGGAAGCAGTGGGAGCCAAGTAGAACTTGAAAGAACCTCAAACATACATTAAAGATGGACTAGAACAAAAGATTGTTACATTAGATTAACAGTCAAAATACATTGTCATGGGCCACCCCCAAAAGGATTAGGGGCGGTTTGCGGTAACAGGAAGGACGCTTTGGCTGTCTGTCGACATAATCAAAGAGACCTGTCGATCAGCTCTACTTGCTATCCAGACTCAGAAATTTGAACAGAAAGAGAAGAAATTCATTTGAAATTCATTTTTTATGCAATGGAGAAAAAAGATTATCAATTGTGCAAATAAATCAACAAATTTAAATGTTTTAATCAAATTTGTCAATTAAGTTCAAATCTTCTCCTCAAATATTCTTAAAGAAAGAACACTTGATTCGTGCTAGGGTACCCTGCAAAACAAAACATAGTAAAATAAAACCCTAAAGAAGGGCGGGTTAGTTTACACAGCAATTGTAGTCCACTTTATGCAAGCGGTCCGGCCGGACCGGATGCCATTTTGGAAGTTCACCGGAAGTACGCCAATATGGTACTTGAAACGTCCGGGGCGTCGCGAGGATCGCGGAACTGGTCCCGGAATATTTTTTCGGAGGTCCGAAGTCGCCACCTTGTTTTGTTGTTTAGGTTTTTTAGGGTAAAACTCAGGAAAAACCTAAGTGACTCCAATTTTTAATAACCTAGTACTAGATTAATTATCCCCAAATGTTTAAGGCATGGTCTACAACCCGAGGTGATCCCCGAGACTATGTCATGCTGATTGAACTAAAACCAAAAGTATGAATGCTTTGCAGGTGAAGATGATGTAATTGGGACCAATGAAATCGTTTAAGTGATTTTGAACTTCCGTCCCGTGGTTGAAATCCAAACGTGCCTACGTACTTCCGTTTGAACATGGAAGATCATAAAGTCAACGTAGTTCGATAGGCTCTTTTAGAGGGCTTTG